CGGACATGGTGTCATATGACTTAAATGACTGGAAATAAGCTCTACTTTAACCCCTTTCAAGGAATGTATCGCTTTACCTGTCACCCTGTATAATAGGTTTACGTGTGAAAATACGCTACAATGTGCCATGTTATAATTGAATTATCAATTAGTCACAGCCGATGTAATAGTTCACTAATCTGATAACGCTGTCTCTACTCCCTAGTGGCAGGGGCAAGGTGTGCGAGTGCCGGAACAATTCGCCTCTACGCAGTAATTGGGTTTTACAGTGATAAATTATGAATATTATGATAGCGGTATTTCTGGATATGCATGTTTAATTTTAACAATTATTATTACTAAAGACGTAGAAGTTATGCGTGGTTTGAAATTCTGTTACACACTTGTTAAAATGATTATTCATTTTTATCTACGTAGACAGAGATCAAGTTGTTTTTGTTTGTAAATATATTTGTTAGGCGGATAAGATTACGGATCCGTCCGTCCCGTCCGAGTTATTTGACTGACAAAAATATACTTCGTATATCCGAAGAAATCTAAGAGATTAGCGCTATAGTTTTGTGTGTGAAAATCCACAGCAGCAAAAGCAAAATAATTTAAGTCCATTGTAGTAGCTTAAAGCCGAAAAAAATGTTTAATAAAACGAGCAAACAGCGAAGGAGGCTTCTTCGTCGCGTTTAAATAGGGTAGAAAATTACCGTCATTTGCAGTTCGCAGCGCCTAAGATACAAGCTGTCGTCACAATACGCCACGACCAAGGAAAAATATGATGCTCGTTACAAACAGAGCACGGAATGCTCAAGTCGTAAGAACAAAAGTATCAACACAATCCTCCAAATCAATATTAGTACTACGCGACAGTCACATCGGCAGTACGTGTTCAATAAATATTAGCAGTTGGCTCCTCTTCGTCCATTCTGTCCAATGAGGATCATTTCGNAATGGTCCGATTTGGATAATTCAAAAAGATATATCTTTCTTATGTCTTAAAGATTAACGTAGATACTAGTTTTATTGAATTTTCTACAACAGTACTGATCCTCATTACCTCCCGACTCTTGACTTCCTGATGCTTCGTTCCTTTAGACCTTCCAAGAGAACCCCTGAGGCAACGGGGAGCGAATATGAAAGGCATTTATTCCGTTTGCCCGCCTGCAGCTGACGTTGATGTTTATTATTTCTGAATATCATTTTCATTATAGTAATAAATCTGACGTCTTTGAGGCGAGCTTAGCAAATGTATATGAGCCGACACAGCTCATATATACCTTGATTTTTTAGAATCCAGCAGAGATGTAAACAAACACTTTCATACACAATTACACCATAATCACTTACGTGTTCATAATATCATACACCTTATTTAACAAGCCCATGAAACCAACTTTATTTTCACGTTTATACAAGTTTGAAATCAATCTTTGAAACAAATTATTTTATCAAAATACGTGGACGATGAGAATTTGTGAGACTTGTCAAATTGACTTGACGTTTAAAATCATGTGTTATCTCCATATTGTCTATGACTTGTCTCTTACACATCAGTGCCGTAACCTGTGAGTCATAGACAATAATCTGTAAATTTAATCGATATTATTTTAAGTATTCACTTATTCCGATTACTGATTAATTTTAAACAAAAAATTTACGATACTTTGTTTAGTTTTCCAGCGATAACTTCGACAATATTGGAGATATAGATGACCCACGCTGAACTGTCCCGCCAAACTCAATGACAGGGGGGCGCTACCATCGTTCAACTATATGGTTTCCAACATGGCAAAAATCTGAACCAACGATCCGGTATTGACGGTGGCGCCCCACTGTCAATGTCATCGACAGGACAGTCCAGTATTTTGGAACTATAACGTAAATTTATTTTTCTACTTTTAGTGTTTACTTTTTCGGAGTCAGTTTAATTTTTAGTCGGTTTTATTTAAACGAAATTATTTTACTTTTTTATGCAATTAATGCTTACGTATTGTTCCATTGTTTATTTTTAAGAAAATAAAAAGCTTCTTTCAATGAGGGTTTTCGCGATTGAAAAATCCGCAAGCATTCGTACGTATGGCAATACGTAGACGCGAGGTCCAAATGCTGCATGATTGGTTATTTTTGACATGACATTGACAGATATGTCAAAATCCACCAATCACGCAGCAAGCAACAGAAGTTTAATAACTTTACGGATATCATTGATTGTTTTACTGTCCAGTGTGTTTTTTGATTACATCTGTGCAAACAGTTTGTTTCCTGTTCTCGAAAATTTCATAATCAGTTCACATTCAATGTTGCGACTTTGTTGCATATTTTTAGTATTTTGACGATCACCCGGCGATGATACGCAAGTACTACAACATTTCACTTCGCGATTAACGAGAGGTTTTGTCGCATCACTAGTTCACAGACTAAAAATATTTTTATGTCAGTTGGCCATATTTGATGACATTTCTGCTGATTTCTAAAAAATTAGACTGTATATCATAATCGGATTTTATAAAATACATTTTATAAAATCCGATTTGTATGAAAATTAAAATAATTAAAATGAAGATATCAATTTACTGACTTCACCATACCATTTATATGCCCATGTTAACATGGGCTAGTGTCGGCTCATATACCCTTTTACCTAACACCCTGTAGTAAAATTAAGGAAAAATATCAATTCCCGTTTTTACTCGTATACCTAACGGCAAACGCTAATTACACGCGATTTCTACAGGCAAAATTATATTTACATTCGTTCTGTTTTATCATAGTATACAAAAATCGTACAATAATATGTCTTAATCACCATTTGAAACGATTACAGCGTTCAAATGCAGTATAATTATAGCAATAATTTTGTTTGATATAAATACTGTATCAGAAAGTTACAAAACGCTATCAGCTGTTAGTGAGTCCATTGTATTCGGCACGCATTGTATGTATTTATTTTGTTCTTTGTTTATTCACGTGTGAAATCAATTGAATTATCCCGAGTCAAAATGAAAATCCGATGCAATTCGTTGTCGGAACACTCCAATTTATCAGATTGAGGGGCCGCATACGTTCCGCAAACAAAATGCCTAAATCTCGAAAATACAGAGATAACAGTTTGTATTTTTAAACCTATCGGTATCACGATAAAATAGCTAGAGAGGAGATTGCCAGTCGATAAATACTTTGCTAGGGTTGTCAGATCTAGAAATATTCCACTTTCAGAATAGTTTGCTTAAGCATTTCATTCCTCAAAAGATGTAGGTTATTGAAATTCAGTGTGCTTAGTGCGAATTTACACCAAACTTCATCGCTAGCAACTGCGTAAAGAATGACAGCGTTCCTAGCGGATACTTTCAAGAACTAAAATCTTCATAGATTTTTTGACGCATTCGCTAGCGACGACGTTCAATGCAAACTCGCAATAAGCACCCTGATGTTTATGCAAAACGACAACACAAAATGCAGCCTCCAGTAAGAAGTCACCTGGCAATAATATCACCATCTCAGTGATTCTGTAACTAAACGGATACTCCGTAAGTTAAATCGATTAGGAATTGCTTGATCAAAGGGATTGAGCACTCGATAGCAACGAACCGGTGACCTAGACAGGCACTTTTTCACGCTAACAGCTTTTGAACGTACGTTCGTGTAAAAAGCCTAACTGTGTCCACAGCACAGCCGAGCGTGCTCGGCCGTCCGGCATGTCCATGCAAATACACATAAACAAGTTACGTTGATCAAACAACCCTAGCAATATCGGGGATTGCGAACGCACTACAAAGGCTAAACAATAGAGCAGAACAAGTAAAGCTGAAACTTTTATGAATGCAGCGCATATTCAATAGAATGTACATTTCGCTACCCGTTCGGTGTCGTGTAACTCTGCACCATTTGGAGTTTTATTTTGTGTTTATTCTAAAACACCGCTTGTCTTGAGTTGGATTGGAACACGCTCGAAGAAAAAGTTGTGTAGAATCTATTTGTTCGTTACTTTTTGAAAGTTGCACAATTTGCTATGGTCGGTTTAGACTGCGTTGTTAGTAAACTAGGTAGGTACAACTTTCCAGTTTCTAGTAGTTTCTATTTCTGCTTATAGGGATTAAGAGCTTAAAATTAATTTGGCAAACAATCGCATTCCAGTCCAAAACTAGACATGAAATAAAGGAGATTAGATGTAAGAAGTTGTAACATCCTGGACCTAATCGTCGACACTTATCGTTATATCCTTTGTGGAGAGAGAATTCCTAATGGATTAGTAGCTAGCCGTCCGAGCGTGCGTCCGTGCGCGGAGCTTTAAGCTCAATTGGTGACCGTGTTTGAATTGAAACACCCAATGGCCGAAGCAATTTGCATAGCAAATTTAGTGGACCTACCGGGTAAAATATTTAATGAACTGCTTTGTTTTTGTAACAAAATATTGCGCGCCCTCGCTCCTGTTTATAAAGAGACATAATTTAGAGCCGCCGCTAACACCATTAATTTAATTAACGCCCACAGTCTGCAGTTTGTGTCGCAGTCAATATATTCAGTCATCGCAGTCAGTACGGGTCTGGTATATAGGTTTATACCCAGTTAATAAACCGTTGATTGCTTAAATAAGCTTACATAACGTGGGAACGGGATTACGTTTTGCTGATATTTCAAGGCCGCAGGGCTCGCTCCCGTTGCGTGCGAAGGCCCTATTTTTAGAGTTCGTTTGAATTAAACTTCGTTGTCGAGTAGTGTATGGGGGTGAACATTTTATTAATATGTTTCAGGTGCTTAAAAGTGTAACATAGAACTTCTAACAAGGTTTAGGTTTCCCGAAATCATACTCCCACACAAGGGTAGGAGGAATATTACACTGTTCATGTTAGCCATGTCATGATTCTATCGTCAGGTAAAAATGGAACATTGAATTCATGTATGGATATCAAGTGGATCGTCTAGTCGTGTGCCGCCATGCATGCCTAAGAAGATTGGTTTTCATCAAGCAAAGGAGACTCTTTTGTAAAAGTATTTAGAGCTCACCTCACTGAAGAATTCATCCATGTAGCCGCCCTCGACGGCGACGTTGACATCGTCGGGCCCGACGTCGTCATCGTCGCTTTGCGCCTGTAACAAAAGCACATTAATTAAAAGAAAATAAAGTATAAATAGTTAAAGCTTATCGTATTAAGAACATAAGAGCTTATTACATACAAATAATACCGTAACGTCGATAAATAATATTCTAATAGCAAAAACGTTATTTCGCGGGATTCGATTACCACCGCGACCGCGCGTTTTCAGTGGTTTTTGTTAATGAGACATTTATTTGCAATATCCGGTACAAATTCTGGTCATTAATATTATAATATCAGAAACCAAACTGCTGCCAATTATAATTATGTACGTTATGTTTTACAAGAATGGGATGTTTTTGATTCTTATTAATTGGAAGGAACCCTCATGTTCCAACCCAAATTACTTTCGTCATATCCAATTCAGAACAATCACGGGAAATTCCGCAACCGAAAACGTTAATAAGCCAACACAATATTGACGTAGATAAGAAATAATGGTGAATTTCGGGCTACGTTTGAGAAGTAGGTACACTCGAAAGTTTGCTAAGAGACATTAATTAATGACTTCTCAATTCCTCACAAAACCCCCCTAATGTATGGTTATGTTAGGTTTTAACAATTTAGCTTGAAGTGCGTTGGCAGAGATCCAGTATATGGAGCGGTGGGTATAATTTGCTCGTTTTCCCCTCATAATAACGTTGTAAACAGTGAATCGTTTTCGCGTAATTCTAAATTATATCTAAAAAGGTCAGAAGATGTTATTTTCATACTCGTTCGTGTTGTAACAGAAGCACGGCACGTACGGTGAGCAACAGAATCAACTTTGAGTCTGACGTTATTCAATTACCGAGAAAGTCCGTATTCGCCACAAAGGCCTACCCTGGAGTGCGGACACATTTATGTCTAGTGACTGAGAGCCGGGGAAATTTAATTGCGCGGTCAAGATGTTTTCCATAGTATTGAGAGTGAGTACATATCTGATGTCTGTAGAGTGGAATGAATAAGAAAACGAGCCGAGAACGACCCTTTTTTAGATGCTATCAAAGAATTTGTCAAATTAGAATAATACCGAAACGAATAAGTATACGATAAAAATCTTTAACACTGGTACAGTGTACACGTTTCAGATATAATCTCTACAGCTAATGTATAAGCATTTGCGGTCCTTTACCAGTTATAACTTTTTGACACCCGATCCATCTGGGGGGCGGTGGCTACCGTAGCCGTAGTAGCGTGTCCACGCAACTTAAGTGGAACTATCGACTTATGTACACACGACTTTACGTGTGAGCCCTTGTCATAGCGCCGGGGGAATAAACCTTTGTTAAGAAATACGCAGACTTGAAATAACATTATTAACGCCGAAAGGTCCGAAAGTAATTGGGAAGAATACAGTTACGAGAGCTCGGGGTACGATAAGGTAAATTGGAACCATTTAAGAAGTGTTAACCTCAAATTCCAGCGTACTAAAAGCTCAACCAGTGCATCGCCTGCGGTCAGCAAGCTCTCCGGATCGATATGGGTCACGGAGACAGCCTGGCGCGATAATGCGTGGAACCATTAATTCAGAAAGCGTTAGACGCAAAGATCCATTAGTGGACCCAATTATCAGCACTTTTCGTCATAATTAGCACCGGTGACTGTCGAGTTTTTAACCTCTGAATAAGAACAGGCGCGAACAATCATAATATTTCATTCATTTAGTGAGCTGAAATGAAATATATTAATGAACTGTTGATGGCGTGTCAACTGGGGGCCTAGATTAGATTGATGTCACAAATGGAGCAATATTTGTTTTAAACCTTATCTACATATTTTGTGTCTTTGTGTGTGAAAGATAGTTGATGTACCCAGTCAAAATCGTCAATCGCTCTTTTATTTCAACTAGAGTACGCAGTAAAAACAACTTTATAAGATTTAATCCAGTGACTCTCAATAAAATTAACCCGCGCAACCGAGCGCATGTTGATAGTAATTAATTTAAACTCGTAAATGTAATCCTGCGATAGCACTTAACAAGCTTTAACATCACAGCAATCTCTGTGCCTATTAAAACTGCTCGTATTAATGGAGTCAAATGGAACTATTAATACCCTTCTGTAGGTGGAAAGAACATGGATGCTTTACACACACGGCTGATCTAACGAGCTACTTCGTCTAACTTTGTAAGTGAAAGTTCAAGTGGAAAAATATGCAGTGCGATACCCTGACACGTGCCACTTTGATCTTAAAATAGACTGATAAAAGCCTACAGTACTACACCCGTAACATGAACATCAAACGGCAACTAAGCAATATATTTTATCTCAAACAAATTAAGCAAAAATAGGAACATTAAATCATCACTTCCAAAATGTATGACGATACTGGTGATATTGATGGTAGTAGTGTGTCATCAAATCATCATCAAAAAAGGATTAATGCAAGAAGTAAGGGAGAGGATACCACACAACTATTTAACTATATTCTAAACATAACAGTTTCTCCCAAGAGTTTCTCTGATGAATTCAACTATAAAGGAGATCTAAATGTCACACTAAACGACGATTAACGCTTTGGTAATACTGGTATACTTAACTTATGATTCCCGTATCTCGTGAGACTCATACAATATAGGAAGGTATTTTATTTTGAGATTAATTTAAATATAAAGTGATGTATGACCACGGCAGCGTGACATACTGAGTGAAGAAGCGAAACTGATAAGATAATTCGAATTGTTGTAATAAGAATATTATTTATTGCAAGTAAAGGATTTTAACTCGTCGTTGCTTTATTATTTTCACCTCCTCAATATTTACACAAATGTAATTATTAGTAATACTAATACTGAGAAAACTATTCATAATATAAAATGGTATTATCATAAATTATTTCAAAAGCATAACATTTTCCCAGTGTGATAAGATAAAATGTATTTTTTCGTTCTCCGCGCGATTACAGTTGTTAGTTTAACAAAACTTTGTTATGAATAAGTATGGGAGTGTAATATTGAGTAAATCTATTTAGGAAAGTAATAAATGTATGAATTCATGATTATTACGACGCTTTCTGAGAACTTGGTATAATAAATACATTATTAGGCAAAGATAGAATTTCTACTAGAAAATTCCACCGATAGGACATGACCATGAGCTCGCGAATCTTCTAGTTTGTAAATAAATAAGCAAGTTTGCTGTAAAAACAACGCTATTTAGAAAATCTATTAAAGTAGTTAACCAAAGGATCGAAAGTTTATTCTTTTTTCCTGCAGAGTTTAAAGAAAACTCGAAGTTCGGAATCGGAACAGTTTAGCACAAGAACTTATTGTTTAAACATTTTATTGTTAGTTCTTTTTTATACGCTTTATCTTTGTGCTCGATAAAAAAGTCTATCATATTTTACTCTTTGCAAAGAGTATAACATTATATTAAAGTCGGAGATTTAGCTTGAAATCACAAGAAAAGTAGGAGCAATTCTGATCCGAATCGGTCAAGGCCGCGGCCGAGCCGCCAGACAAAGGGCCGTCACCGATTACCATACCTCGTCCGCAATCTCTGCCTTGGCCACTTTCATAACCTTTCTCTTGTAGTCTTTACTGTGCAAGATGCTTTTAGAGCCGAAACAAGAAATGAGACTTAAGTACGAATCTGTACTCAACCCCCTTATTACAAAAAAATTTAGCCCGGAACGAACACTGATTTTTTTAAGTGACATTTTACCATACATACTAAATGTCAATTTAAACCAGAGTTCAACCAAAGTCAAACTTTCTGTAATGGGGGATGAAGTCAAGAGCTGAATCACAACTGTGATATCCAATCACAGGCTATCTTTTCAGCTTGAATCAAGTTTTGAGTTATTTCAGTATATGAACTTTAATAAATGATTTTTAATGAAAGATAAACACAAGAATCTACATTATACTTTACAAAGAAGAGTAGAATAGTTTAAAAGACTTGAATCCTATTTATTCCGGTCAGAAATACGGAACAAAATGCACTCTTTCAGCTTGAATCAAGTTTTGAGTTATTTCAGTATATGAACTTTAATAAATGATTTTTAATGAAAGATAAACACAAGAATCTACATTATACTTCGTCGCTGCATCCTCGAGATTTTNCTCTGAAATGAATGACGACTCGACGGTTGGAGGAGTGTGACGTAAGCGTGCCCCACTACCGCCGGATATCGAGTCACAACAAGTACTTTTTTGTATTGTATGCTCTAAAATGTTCGATGCCTAGTACAATGAGAAGTGGACTACCTGGTAAATATGAAAATCTCTTCGGATGCAGCGACTCGTATAATTACGGTCAAACTTCACTTAAGGTAAGTTTGTTTAACCATAAATTATACTTTACAAAGAAGAGTAGAATAGTTTAAAAGACTTGAATCCTATTTATTCCGGTCAGAAATACGGAACAAAATTCACTAACCAAACTCACAGAGCGGTTTTTACCATGTCTGCCTCGGAAGTTTCGTGGTTTCCGCTGCACGAGCGGTAAGCGCGGATCGGAGAGAACACCTACGCGTGCTTCAGAATGAAATAAAAAACAAAACGTTTTGCAGCAAAACTGATATCCTGTTCTGATATGCTGTTGTCTGTACATATTACTTCGTTCATCTCAGCCAAATGACGTCCACTGCTGAACAAAGGCCTCCCCCGAGGTTTTCCACAATGAACGGTCCTGCGCTGCCCGCATCCAGGCTCTTCCCGCGACCTTTAACAGATCGTCGCTACATACTACTATTTATAGTTTATCGGCTTCATAGACTCCTCGTTTTCAAACTACACGCTTGCAAAACTTACGAGGTCAGTTAGTTACACTTGAAACAAAAGTAACACATGGACCTAAAAAATAAACGAAATATAACAACACGAATTCGACTAATCACCTTAATTACGTAAGCGAAATCAACACGAAACGCTCGTGGGGAGGTAAAACATGAAAAAGAGCAATAGTTAATTAAAGCCGCACTAATTTGTCGGTCTAGTGATGGGATTTCTTTAACACAATAAAAAAGATATTGTGTATAGCATTACAAAGAAAGTAATCAGATAATTCAGGTAGCAGGCGATGATGAGGTTTCATGCGAGAACATTCAATGTGGTAATTTTAATCACATACTCTTTCAAAAATACTCTTCCAAGGGACAAAAACAGGAAGTAGTTCAGAAAAGTTATCTGAAGAGACAATAAAGCAGGATCATCAATGTAAGCCGGCGAAAAAAATCGGCAATACTTGGAGCGAGATCAAACGCGAAGCTCAAGACCGAACGCGATGGAGGACTGTTGTGGACGCCCTTTGCCCCATCTAGGGGACATAGGGCCTTAAGTCAAGTAAGTCATCAATGTAAGCCGCGTCGAATCTAATGCTAATTTTCATCCCAATTTCAAGAAATCTTATCCCAAAATCAACGCACACAATGA